TTTTATATGATTCGAGGATCATTTTAGTGGACAGTTTATGACTCTCTTTGTTTTCCTTCCAAAATCGGAGGACACGCCCGACCTAACCTTGGGGGCGTTCCTCTAGGACCAGCGCCTCTTCCTGGGCCGTCTGCGGACGGCCCCGGGGCCCGTGGAGGGCCCTGCGCTGCCGAGGGCCGCGCGAAGAGCCGAGCTCCCAGAACCGCTCTCCCCGCCAGGGCCCGATGCCTTCATGGCCTACAAGTCGGGGCCCTGCCAGAGTTCAGAATGTGATCGTTTTTGTATACATTGTTTTTGCCGCTCGTCGCGGGTCCCCCAGCCGCCCCTCCCCCCCCATGGAGTAGATCCGGGCTGTTGTTTGGCACCTGTTTCGAGCGGGTGGAGTTTCCCCCACAGGCAGCAGTCCTGCAAACAGCCGCACTAAGCAGAGGTCCGGAACCAGAGCCCCCCCAGCCCCTCCCCCTTTTTACGCCCAGTGTCGAAACGACGAAGGAAAAAAACGTTCACGATGTCGATCAGGCCCTCTTGCCCGAAGGTGCCCTTGGCCCAACAGAGGGGGGAGGAGAAATAGAGAGCGCGAGGAAAGAGGAGGAGCAGGTGACGCGCGGCGCTGGCGGATTCAAGCGAGGACCCAACAGCGCAGGAGGCTGGGGAGCACCAGCCGAGGACGAGAAGCAGAGTCCCCGGCAAGAGGTCGAGTGGACGGGGCGGTGCCGCCTACAACGCACGTTCGCGCGCATGCACAAACAAACATACACACACGCACACACGCATACGCACGCGCACGCGCCCGCGCACGCACACGCGCACGCACGCACGCACGCACGCACACACACAAACACAAACACACACACGCACACACACATGACTCATTTCGAGTCCTCCGATTCGATCTGGTTCAATTTCGATGGCTTCCGATTCCGATTCGATTCGGCTTGGGATGCCGATTTGGATTCCGATTTCTCAATGGCGGCCTGCTGGCCTGCCGATGTGTGCCTCGTCGACGCCTCCCGACGTGGCTGCCGACTCCCGCCGATCCAAGTAATTTCGATCGCCGATCCGATTCCTCGATTCGATTCTGGGCTCTCTTGCACACGCACCCACACTTTGGGCGGCGGCCTCTCACGCAGCGGCGAGGTGGAGAAAGTGCCACAGGCAGCGCAGCGCGCGCGGCGGCCGGGCACCGGGCACTCAAAGCATCGTTCCGGATGCAAACCTACCATCATCGGCCATGCACATTTGCACACGTAGACGCTGGTCGTTGACAGCAGGTAGTGGAGGATGACGATTAATAAATGACCGGGGGCCGTGTTCACGCGGCGGCGCCCGGGATGACGATTCGAAAAAACCGGCCGCGGGCTGGAAAATTATGTTTTAAGTCGTTCCCCTCCATTCAGAAAACTGTGCAGAAATAGCAGAAAACTTTTTATTCAAATCGTTCTCTCACATTTTTTTACTAATCGTCATCCCGCATTATTGATGGACTCCCAGGTCCCAATCTATTTTTAGCCGCCTTCCTGCGTCAAGCGTCGAGCGGTCGTCCCTCTCTTCCCTCCTCTTCGGGGGGCGGGTGGGAGCCCAAGCTACGTTCCAAGGCCCCGTCCTGCTTCACCGCCCTGCGCGCTGCTTCCAACCGACTTGCACGCGTGCTTCACCGCCGACTGTCAAGAGGAGGGCGAGCGGAGACAACGCTTGGCATCGCTCGGACGTGTGGATTTTTCCCTCGGCGAGGACCATCGAGGAGCATCCTTGATCATTTGGCGAAACAACCACGCACGAATCCGAGAAAAACACAGGGAATGGACGTCCGAGCGATGGCGAAAACGGCAGTTGGCCTTGGGGGGATGCGGCGCGACGACGGGCTGCCATCGGCGGAGAAGACTCATCACTAGAGGGGACGCTCACGAAGTGAGTTGTCCACCTCGTGTGGCAGCACAAGCAGCGGCGAGCACTCCAGCGTGGAACGGACATTCTAGGCCTCTCAGATGGGGTCCGAGGAGATGGGGTCGGAAGATGGCGCCGCAGCGCCAGCGCATCGGCGATGCGGCTCGATGTGGAGCCCGATGTTCGTCACTCGGCGTCACCCCAGCATACTAATGCTATGTGTACGCCGCCCTCCCTCGGGGGCGACGCGCCCGCGCCGAGACATCTTACAGTATAGGCTGCACGGCGGGTGTCGTCTGGCCGTACCGCTCGGGCAACGATATGCTATCAGATGGTTGCTCTGTGTCCTCGGTTCGGGCGCAGGCCTCCGAGGAGGACGCACAGCACTAGCAGGTCCTTGTGCGTCCCGTTCACGCCGACGGAGCCAGTGCATCGCCGACGTCGCCGATGCACCGGCGGCACGGCGCCGCCCTCCGACCGCGCCTGGTCGGACCCACTCCTGGGAGGCCTCCAGGCAGAGCCCGCGGGCCGCTGAGCGGGCAAGCTCCCCAGCGCGTGGAGGGCGAGCAGGTGCGGGGACACGGACGAGCGGCGCCAGCCAGGGCAGACGGAGGAGGCGGCGGCGGCGGAGGAGGAGGGGGAGGGGGAGGGGGAGGGGGAGGGGGAGGGGGAGGGGGAGGGGGAGGAGGAGGAGGAGGAGGAGGAGGAGGAGGAGGAGGAGGAGGGGAGGAGGAGGAGGAGGAGGAGGAGGAGGAGGAGGGAGGAGGAGGGGGAGGGGGGGGGGGGGGGGGGGGAGGGGGAGGGGAAAGGGGAGGGGTGAGGGGAGAGGGAGAGGGAGGGGACGAGGAGGAGGAGGAGCAGGAGCAGGAGCAGGAGCAGGAGCAGGAGCAGGAGCAGGAGCAGGAGCAAGCAGGAGCTGGAGCTGGAGCAGGATCAGGAGGACGAGGAGGAGGAGGAGGAGGAGGAGGAGGAGGAGGAGGAGGAGGAGGAGGAGAAGGAGAAGGGGCGGTGGATGGGGAGGAGAAGGGCGAGGGGGGCGAGGAGGATGGGGGGAGGAGCTGGTGGAGGCGGCGGCGGAGGAGGAGCGGTGGACGGGACGGCGGAAAGCGAGTGACCAGCCGGCAGGCCGAGAATGCACCGCGACACGAGGGCCCAGGCAGGCGAGCGGAGCGGCCACAGGCGAGGCGCAACGCGCCGCACGCGCGTATTTTTGTTCTGACCCGCCGCAGGGCCCGATCGGCGTGCAGTCAGCCAAGACGCTGAGATAAGGAACAGTTTGGGTTCGGAAGGGGCTCGATGTTCCTTAGGTTTCTCCAGTGCTGTTCCTCTTGCCCTCCTGGGGCACGGAGGCGCTCACAGGGCCAAGAAGGGGCTTCGTTCCTTATCTGGCGTTCCTTCTTTCAGCGGCCCGACTGTACGGGCAATGCCATTTACGTCCCATCGAGTCGAATCAGAAAGAACTGCGTCAGCACACAAACTTTCCTAGCGCCGCGCGGATCTCTTGGCTCGGCGCCTGCGCCCCCTTTGGCGGCGCCTCCGGCGCCGCCCCCCGCGCGCTCCGCGCGCCAGGGAGGGGGGGGGGGGGTCCAGCGCAGGTCCGCGAAGTCCGGGCGGACCGCCGAACTTTGTGTGCATCGATCTCCCTGCTTCGCTCCCCGACCCGCGCCCCTGCGCAGTGGCGCGGCGGAGCGACGCCCACGGCGGCGCGCAGCGGCGCGGGCCGCTGGGCGCACGGCCGGGCGGGCCGTCTGCGCGCGCACGCGCGCGCGCACGACGACCCTGCGGCCACGCTGGGCGGCCTCGTCCTCGGCGGAGGGTTCGGCGCACCGGGGCTCGGGCCGTCTCTGTGCTCGACGACGGCGGTTCCGTCTTCGAGCGCCCCCTCCGACGAGCGCTATCGCCAGGAGGGAGGGGAAACACACAGACACAAGGCATCGTCGGTCCCCCGAAGCACAGGGGCAAGTATGGGAAGTGGGGGGGAAGACGGCAACCCATCAAGTACACAGAAATATGGGGAATCCTGGGCATTGTGTGCATTTCTTTGTGTGCCCCGCGGCCCCTTTCCGTCGCTGGGAGAGGCGGGTCGCATCGGTGTCTTCCTCCGCTCGACACGGGCAGCGGGGCTTTCGTCTGGCCTGCTGGAGGGACGGGAGGAGCCGAGCGGGAACCGAGGCGGACGAGCGGGAGGCGGAGGAGCACGGGGCGGAGCAGCACGATGACGAATACGCCCTTGCGAGCTGCCGGCTCCTCCCTTCTTTCTGCCCAACCAGTGTCGGGAGGGAGCAAAACCACACAGACACGATTTATCGTCGATTCCCCCGAACATATGGGAAAACATGGGAAGGGGGGGGGGAAGAGAAAAACCCAGAACCTATGGGAAAATATGGGGAATCTTTTTATTTGTGTGTATTTAGTTGTGTGTCCCAGGGCCTCTTCAGAGTGTTTGCACTGAATGGGTCCTCTCGCAAATCGAAAGGTTTGGCGAAAGTTTCCCGCCGATTCTGGTGGTAGGCTGGGTTCCCGGGTCCAGGTTCCCGGGTTCCCGGTTCTGGGTTCCGGGCCGATTTCGGATGGCGGCGAGGTTCCCGGGTTTCCGGGTTCCTGGTCGAGGTTCTTATCGGTCGGTCTCACCATCGATCTCATCACCGACTTCGCGAACGATCTCACCATCGATCCCACAATCGATCTCATTATCAATCTCACAAGCGATCTCGCTAGAGATCGCATGAGCGATCTCGCGATCGATCTCACCTTCGATCTCATTGAATCGATTTCACTCTCGGTCTCACGATCGACCTTACAATCGTCCTCACTATCGATTCCACTATCGATCTCGCAGTCGATCTCAAGATCCATAGTATCAATTTTCAAATCATCCACTGGGGTTTTCTCAGGTGTAATTGAAAGATTTGGCG